CCCTCAGGACGCGCTATCGGCTAAAAAGGAAGTTTTCGGGGTTCATGGTGATAACTTTAACATCTACAATGATGTCTGTATTTCCTAATGAATTAGGTTATCTATCTGGTACCAGCGCTGCATAACAATGAAAAATCTTCAAATTCGAGTCGCACACAACTTCCGAACGCATAATGTATTAAAGTAACAAGAAGAAGAACATGTTCTTCAGTAATGCAAGTGACGTACCTAAAGAACATGGCTTCCGTTGCGTGACCATTTTTAAAAGGATATATATATATATATATATATACATAAACGTACACGAATATTTTTCTTTGGAATCTGGAATGCCAAAGCATATTTTGATAAACCTTTCCCCTGCAGGGGAAGAACACGCCAAAGAGATCATTATCGTTTGAAAATTTTGAAAATGACATAAATTTACTGATAGGAAACCACTGGAACCGCTACCCCAAGAACGCCTGCTTTGGAATGGATGCTTTCCTCCAGAAATATAGCCAGGTCTGAATGAAGTTGCTATCACGATATTGACCTAGGCTGCGTTTTACCCCTGCGATCTTTTCAGTCGCTTAAAATTCCCGCTCAAGTATTTTGATCATATATGTTTGTGTATCTACGACTGTTATTATTCTACAGACCAAACAGCATTGGCGTGCCATTTCAATTGCGCACATCCAGCCTTTTCCCTTTTGAGAACAAATGAACGTGTGGCGCCTGTAAATCTCCATAGAGTCATTTTCGAAACATACGTTGATTCTTCTTCGACCATCATCGATGCCACAAGGCTCTGAAAAAAGTGATTGATCTCATCATAAATGTTAAATTGAACGCTTCGCCATGCATATTTGCCCGGGGCATACGGCTCTTGCCACATGGCTCGGCATGCCACCAGAGCTGGCGAGGGAAGCACCCTTCTGCAGACACGCCGGTGGCCGTATTCACGCGCTACCGGGTTGGCTGGGTGTGACCATGACAGTGCGACAATGATGACATGACTTACGAGGTGACGTTGGGAGGGGGGGGGTGTGGGGGGGGGGAGGTCGTGAAGTTATGATAGAAACTGTGATGGAATAACCATGATGGTGCGATGGCGACGACGAGATGGTGACGATGGCGTGATGACAATATGATGGCGGCTAGCATTATGTAGCCGTGATGTTGTATTTAGTGGCGTAACTATAGCTGTGTAGCTTCGATGACAAAATATGATGATATGGTTATGACGTTGTTCTCTGGGTGGTCCGTGACGTCGCGAGCAGGGTGACAGCAGACATGGGAGCTCCCAACCATTCATGATATAGATGGCTCCAGAAGCTAGGCTATTGAAGTCAAGCGACTTGGAAAGAAGCTGTAAATATACCTTTCCTCATACTATGACAGCTGGGGATTCACTGATGTAACGATCGTGTTCTTACACATACAACACCACTGCTTGTAGGCTGGTCGGACATGGGTCTGTCATGCCCGACAATTGGTCAGATATAGGTCCAGTCACGCTCGGCAAGTTCGGTCGACAAAATCGATGAGTTTGCGATGGTTTACACTGTTTGCAATTACGAGCAAGGTATTATGACGAGTGCAAATATCTGATATCACTATTGGTCACAGTAAACAGGACTATAAACAGGACAGGAGCTGCGCTATTTTTATGGCCCACCCCTCCTTGGTTTAGACCAAAGCTTTGTGTATTCGAGACCGATTTCGAAAAAAGGTAGCATGGGCTGCTTTACCACCGATTACTGGTGCACGCATGCGTCGAACATTTTTGAAATCTGCTGCTAAGCTGTAGGCGGTACATTCAATTTTACCATGTAGTTGGTTTCTTGTCCCCATCCGCTCTGATTGATTAGACTTGACATCATTAAAACTTATCATTCGAAAAACGCCGCAAACCGGGCGGACCCGTGGTTTGCGCACAGCAGTGCGTGGCTGTTTTCACACATCAACCCATACTTTCCCCAGTATGATTGTCTTTCCCTTCCGTCAGCAGTTGTTAGCCTTGCGTCGCCGTGACACCGGGTGCGAGAGATCCTGACTGATTTTGGCCTCTTTTTTAGCCTTTTGACAATGGAGAAACTACCTACGTTAGTAGAATGTGGCAGATAAACTTGTGATGCTGCTGCAAGGTTGCAAGAAAAACCGTTCCGATTAGAAAGTTTACTCTTTGATGTCTGACAAGTTACGCAATACAGTTCTTAAACGTGGGCGTTTTTGAGAACTATAGGAACCTGCTATCAGTGGCTGCAAAGATATGCCTCCTAGAAAGCGTAACGACCACGGCGGGGCTGGCCGCTCGAGTTCAAAATGTTTTCATGGCTCAACCAAGACTCCCTCGGCCTGCGGCTTCACCCGTCACGCTAGTATGACTGCGACAACGCACGGCGAATTTCTACCACGATGAGTTTTATGCATTGCCTCATTACGGCAGCACGGCTGTCATGGTGCGGCAACGGTGATCACGACGGCTTGACTGTGACAATGGTTCCCAGGTGCTGGTGCACGGGATGCATGACGAGCCGGAGGTGCGACAGAGAGGCCTGGCCATCCAGCCCGGCAGGGAGATCTTCGTGGCCGTCGGCGCTGAGGAGACGTACACCACGCGTGAGTACGCCTCTGACGGGTTCAGGGAATCGTTCGCCCCGCGTGAAGTACATTACGTGGCGTGGAGGAGAATCAATTACCTTGACTAATGATATGAGGAAAATTTAATTTTCGAGGTCGACATAAATGACGAGTCCTCATTCCAGTACTCTGCTGATCAAGGGCGTGGGTTTGGTCTAATGCAGAAATACAAACACTGCTTCTTTCACCATTTGTTGTCTGAAAATATGCTGCAACTGGTCACCATCTGTACAACTGGAAGTTTGACTGGTCTAAAGGTCAAATAAGCGTACTGATATTTCAGGATTTTGTTGTCTGGAAAGGTCATCGCGCTGAGATCTTCTACTCTTCCATCCCTGACTTAATCTGAACAACTGACACTGGCTTAAAGCTGGAATTGGCATACTGCTGATGTCAATGACAAACTGGTGTAGATCTGGACAAGTGCCGCTGGTATAAAGCTAAAATGGTTATAGTGCTGTCGAACCGTTTTCTTATTTAGAAAGGTCATATTCACAGTGTGCCCTTGCAGTAAATTTTCTTTAAATTTGAGCCTAGAGCCTTTGAGCTTTACAAAGAATGTGTATTCATCTAGTTCCCAGTTATTTCTTATTTAAGAATATAGGGTAGCCTTGGACGTCTAAGAAAATTATTGCCCATGTTTGTCGCGTGCTTGCAAATTTGCAGCGCGAGCCACAAATAGCTCGTTAGTTATAATTATACGAAGGCAAAAGCCTATATACTCACAACCACATCTAACTCTGGGCCGCTGTTACTGGCAGCATGGGTGGAACATCCAGCGTGCTCTGAGAGGACAGTGTCCCTCCGACCTACTCACCATGCTGTGTAATTACAACATGAGAGCATGAACGTTTTGTGAAAATCCTAGACGTGAACTACTGAGTGCTGCTTGCTTTTCAGAAAGCGTCTTTGATCGAAATGTGTCAAGCCTTTGTCAGTTATTTAAAACCTGGCCTGATTGCATTCAATTATTGGGAACTATTTCTTATTTCGTGAGCGTTTGACTCAGACGTTTTTGTGATTCATCTCTGGTGTTGACCGCAGTCAAAATCGTCGAACACCATCCTCCATCTTACAGAGCGGGCGGAAGACGGCTTCAAGCCGGAACAGAGGAACTGTTTCAAGGAGCACGAGGTCAGCCTGAAGTTCAGCGACACGTCCGTGTACACTCTGGCCAACTGCCTGCTCAGTCACGAGGCCGAGGCCCTCTTCGAAAAATGCGGATGCGTTGCGTACTACATGCCAGGTAAGACGCTTGGGATGCTGCGATGCGTTTAACATGGGCGCATAAAGGCATTGGTTTTAAACGTGAAGGTGCTTAGATGTGCGTGTGCATGTTGATTTGATGAGTGCTGAGCTGTTGCAATGCGTTGTATTGTGTGCTTCATGCAGTGTTATATGTGCAAATTACTACTCCCCGCGTTTTCTTTTTGCGCTACCTTTGCGTTCCTCAACCCTTTGATTTATTAGTTTCAATTAATGGTGGTTAAAGAGAAACCACACAATCTACATTCAAGCGTCAAATTGTATTGAATCTTTAGCCCATCCATGCAGCACGACTTTTCGGGATTGGCGCCATCATGTAAAATGTATAAAGCAAAAGGTTACAAAGCAACGCAAACGCGCATTGGGATAAAATAGCGGCAACAGTCGTTGAACAATCCTCAGGTACATACCCACATTGCAGACAAGAATTGTTACCCAGTGGAATTTTGATTCGGAGAGATAGATCCTAAAAGACACAGTAAAACGTTCATGCCAAGTCACTCAGCGTGTGCTGCACTTTTAAAAGCGAGTCTAAATGTTGCGTGTGTAGTGCCAACTAGTGGCCTCTTGTGATTTTGCAACGGCCAACATCACGTAACGTCATTCTACTTCACTGCACCACGCAACCATTATCGTCTGATTTAAACCCCTCGCAGCACTGTGCTCGAAGTGCAGATTTTAGCAACGCCGGCACCACTAAGGCAATTCTGTGGCGCGGTGGGATGCGCCACTCCGTCTTGCAGTCGGCGCTTACAGCAGGCTACCTGTAAGCCACACTGTACAAGTCTCCATGTCATTGTTCGGCGGACCTTCAGCCACCTCCGTCTTGCAGGGAACGGCGAGGTCTGCCACGAGAAGGACCTCTCCTGCCTGCGGGGCTTCCTCCGTGAGTAAGACGGCAGACCGGATACTCGTCAACATTGGGAATCACGCCTGGCGGCGGCACGTGACGTGCACCTACCAGCCAGCCGACAGCCAGCAATAACGTCAATGAGTCCGGCGCCACATGCGGCGAGCCCGTTGTCTCACACATGCATTAATCACAATATGGCAGGCCACAGACACGAGTGGATGCCTAATCAATACAAATTGAACTTATGGGACAAATACAAGTGGGACGAAGCGACGGAAAACAGCCTGAACTCAAGCACAGCTGCCGCGGGGGTTCATCTCCTAGTGGGCTTTTCTTCGATGCGTCCCGGCTGCTGTTTGCCACCCAATCCTGGCGAGTGACGGTGGATGGCGCCAGCTGTGACCTCGCACTCGAGCAGACGTCGTGTCGCGGCCGTGCTCGCCCCAGGTACGGGCGCTGGCACCGAGCAGCCGCGCCTGGCGTGTGTTGCGGCGTGTTGGGTCGGTCCCCTTGGCAGCGATCAGAGGCGACGCAGTTCGCAGCACAATGTGGAACGCTTGCAAGGGGATGGTATGGTCATGTGAATCAGTGGCCGACGCCGGCCATGCTCAAGGCTGTCAAAGGCCTTGGGGATATAAACTGTGACAGGTAACGCCACCATGTCGCTGTCGATGCTGTCAGTACCCAAAGAGACAGCGTCAGGCGGTGTCGCCTCCGTAAACAACCTCGGCCTGAGCCCGTAGCGCCTCGGCGCAGTATATGGTGGGGCGTCAGGTACGTCATTAATTGTGTGTACACCAGTCGCTCACACACCTTGGCCACAACAGTGAGTTTGGCATTGGCCGGTATTTATGGATATCCCTGGTGTCCACCTTCTTATAGAGCACGGCCACGTTAGCCACTGCATAATGATTGGAAAGGTCACGGTTAGGGCATCGCGGTGTAAAAGTCCAAGTAAGTGGGCGCCCACGATCGGAAACGTCATTTTCAACATCCGGATGGCGATGCCGTCAGGTTCACATGTTCTGCAATATTTGCAACGATTTTGAGCATTAGTCTCTGGTGGTTTTGTGATTTTGATTGATCGTTCGCGACAAGCGTGTCGGTCTTCGGACCCGCCCTTTCAGGATCTAACGGCAGTAACGCAAAATTATCCATTTCAACCTGACAGAGCTCAGAAGAAATATCCATTCAGCAGCGTGCCGTACCCAATGCTCCTTTCAGGACTATGTACCATTGTAAGGCTGGACAATATCCGGTGAGACATATAGGTGTCTTCGCTGATCAGGGGAGGAGTTAATGCTGGGATACGGATATGACTACATTGATAGGAATGTAGGAATTGATTCAGCCTGAGCTGCACCCTCCTGACATGAGTGGGGTTATGGTGCGCCGCGCAAAGCGTTTCGCTCATCACTCCCGCTACCTTGTCTTCCGCCTTTGGGCACCTGCTATTCTCACTCTGCTTTTAACATTTGTCTGTCCATTTAAACCCTATAATTAGCTGCCATTGCTCGGCTGATATTTTAATTACCCCCGCTCATTTCGCTTCATGCATTTGTTCCTATTCTCACCATAAAAAGGCTGCGCTTGTTTTTCTCTTCCCTAACCGATTTTGACCCCATGGATTCGTCACTGTAGTCCCCTTCCAGTGGTACACGCAGTCGGAGTGGAGAACTACTTCCAAACATCGTGTACAGGGAAATGCGTCCGCAAGTGGCCGGACACTTCAGAGTGAGCACCTGCAAGATTCTGCGCATTGTACATTGCTGTTACGACCAGTTTTGCCGCGGCATGCGACCGATGTTTTGTTCTTTGGGCGTCTGGCTATACGCCGATGGGATATAAAAGCTGTTCTTGTCAGCAGACAGCGTTTTCTCAGCTGCAATCTTTCAGGAGAGTCCTGGTTGCAATCCGAGGGTATATGTCAGGAGCAGAGGACTTCACTCCGACGTTCACATCGCCTGAATGAATGTTCATGTACTTTCCATCCCAGCGACCCTTACGGCCGATGAAAACTACTAATTTTCGCGCATCTCGGGGCACTCATCATAGATCAACAGCACATGCGCTGGGAAACAGGTTTCTAAGTCTTTGTGCAACTTTCAGGTGACACTACAGTGCTTGTGTTTTAGCTGGCTGATTGAAATGCTCCTTGAATGTTATCAGCGGACAAGCTTCCAGCTTTTCTCGAAGGAGGCCATACCGTTCACAATTGACGCTCGCAGGCATTGGAAGACGCGGATGTCTAAATCGTTTCTCTGTACGCGAAGCCATTTTAATGTTAAATTTTCCCCAAATGGGAGGTACGTCTACTCTGCTCTTTTTCACGAATCCGGCCTATGGCTGTCCATGACATATGACTTAACCTCCCGCCGATGACTTATGGCCTGTGCGTAACTCGCTCTGAGCACCCCGCACGAGCTCTGACGTCCCTAATTCATGCAAACACAGAACATTGCACTCGTGTGAAGTGGTGTGCGGGCTGGCTAGCGGACAAGGTCGTTTAGCACTCCCATACCTGAAGGCGGTCGTCAGGCAATTCTGTTGTGACTTGTAATCACACAGCAGCACTTCAACAAAATTACTCGTCCAGCCGGAACGTCAGCTTGATGGCATTCTGGCAGCCGCACGGAGTAATCTACATAAAACACCTACAGCAAGGCTGACAGGCAGTGCGAGCGCCATTACATCAAACGTAGATTGATGGACGGCCCCTCGTTCTGCACCCGTCACCGCAGCTGTCATTAGAGCTGACGCCCACGGACAGCACGACCCACACACGCACTAACCGCCACTTTGTTGACCCAGTAAACACGGGCGCCGCCGGTGCCCCTGCCGTGCCGCGGCACGGGGTCATGACCGGATGTGACGCATCAACTTCGGATGCCGTTGTCGCCCAACGGCCTTACGACACGGCCCGCCTCAGCCACCGCTAGATGGCAGGCGTGTTGAACCGTATGTGACGCTGAAGCGTGCGGATCGTCGTGCTGAGGGAGGGGAAGGGAGGAAGGGAAGGAAGAGGCTGCAGCCTATGTGGTTGTGTGGGCCCTAGACTATTCCAGAAATCGCTTGGCGTTGATGGCCGTTGACCCCTATTTGTTGTGTATGCAAGTGTAACTAGTGTCGGGTTACAACCAGTCGGTTTCGATACGAATTAGACTCGGATCTAAATAACAGCAACATGCGGCCCTTTACCAACATGACCACACTCATATTGTTCCACGCACCATCCGCCGTTATTTCCCCATTCTCTCTTTATCCTGCATCCTCGCAACGTCCCAGCTGTGCGCCCCAGCTGCATGCACCAATGGGCTTTAAGTGCCCCCTGGAGGAGGGGGGGGGGGGGGGGGGGAGCGCCGAGCGCATCCTCCGCAGGGGTGCCCGGATGGGGTAAATCTCGGTCTTGGGTGTAAGCAATAGACCAGCCATAGGAGCACATGAAACAAGTCTATTTGTGTGACGGTAATTATATGTGTGAAGTTTGTGACCATTTGTGAAGAGGGTAATTATATGTGTGCCTTCGAGATAAGTTTACGACACTTCCACATGAACCAATATTTCAAACTGGTTTAGTGCAACCAGGGATCAACCTGCAATCAAGGACAGTCTAGCAAATTTAGAACTTAAAGCTTCCAATTGTCAGCAACTGAATGAAGGTCTTAAGCCGTCTATCTTGACTAATGTTCTGTTTTTCCATAGATAAGCTCTCACAGGACTTCGACATGTCGGCGCATTTCTGGGACGACTGTCTGCCGGCCTGTGACGAGACCAAGTACTCGACCGAACTGTCAACCTTCAGAGTTCCCCAGTCGGATGCTGATCAGCAACAGCGCATTCCAGCACATCTTCCAGACCATCATGACGAGGATCTGTATCGCTGTCCAGGCGCACAGGCACAACAGATGGGTGAGCTCTCGTTAACGTCTGTTTGACTGTGCAGCAGCGCTCGTACGCCTGTGAAGGCGTCAGGTGACCAAAAGGCCTTGGTTTAGTCGAATTCTGTAGTTTGACGTTTTGTTTATGATAAGCTGACATGACTCACATTGGCCAAGTGAACGTCCCGGAATCCCGGAATCGGAGCCAGTTATAATTGGTTCATCCCACCCTGAATCGAATCGAGGCTGTTTCAAAATGACTTGGCAACCATCCCAACCTGAATCGAATCGAGGCTGTTTCAAAATGACTTGGGAGGGGGACCACCATTCAGGTCGAAGCTTACTTGTAAACTGTAATTCAGTTCAGCTGTTGAAGCAAAATTATCTCATTTTTAATCCAAATTCCAATCAAGCAACAGCATTTTGATCTCAGTTAGAACCAAAACAGCTCAGATTAGGATGAATGGCTCCCAAATTTAAGTGAGGCCAAATGAATTTAAAACGTTTTTGCCAGTAGGCCAACTTAGTTTAAACCAAATACGGTACGAAAACTACAGTCATATTTGTCACTGGATGGCAAGGCCGATTCAAGACCATTTGCTCTTATTCAACTAGCTCAGACGGCAATAACCGAGCCAATTCTGATTCGGTATCAGATACGAACAAAATAGTCGAGTCAAGTTTGATTGTCATGAATTCTGGATTATTCTTAGCTCGATTCTTTTTCTGAATAGAATGGCCCACATCTGAGTACCCCAGGGCGCATCCGGGCCTAATATAGGCTCTCAAGTTAGCGCCAGGTCGTGGAAACTCTCCACCAATAAAACCTTCAAGTTTAACACAAATTTGCACGCAAGCCGAACAGGTTACCAGGGCTGAACTTCCGTTCATGGAAGCCACTCCGCGACAAATCTCTTCGCCTTTCGTTTATTAACCCACAAACCACAGTCTGCCTGGTAGACACCCTACACAGAATTCCAGTGCCCGTCTCGGGGGAAGGGTTCTGATCCATGATATTGTTGTGTCACGCACATGATTTGTAAATAAAAGCATCGTAGTTCCTTCCGACTCCCCCATTGGCTCCCTTCGTGCCAGCGATCCGCCCTTTCTGTTGCAGTTCTTCTTGAAGGTTTTGGGATGGGCGGATGAAATGCAGCAAAGCTGCACAGGTATTAGTCACTTATTTACCAGTGCTGAACCCAAAACTCAGCATTGCAAAGAGTGAACTAGTAGCAAAATGGACAATGTCGCGCGAGCTTAGAAAAGCTGCATCTTTCACAAATGCGACTCATTATCTGTTTGTAGTTTGTCCAATCCTTTTGAACATGACATTTACCTTCCCATCAGTGATCGGACAACTCATCTGCACACCCAACCAGCAATCATACTGATACGCGCACGACTGCAGACCGTTCGCTCCAGGCATACAAACAATTCTACGCGTCTGGCACGGGCCTCGTAGCAGCATAAGTCTAAAAGCGCTGCCCGGCAAACGCATATCCGAACCCGAGCGGAAATCTGTGGCGTTGAGCTGAAATTGGCACTGGCACTCGTGCTTATGTATACTCAATTCAGGCGTCCATTTGTGGGCACCAGCTCGGTGTTGACATTATCAGCAAAGGTAATATCGCAACAACGGCGGCACCAATTCCGCGCCGGTCGCCGGCGCCCTGGTACAAAATGTCACATATCCAGTCCGCGAAAACATTTGACCGTCCGCGCTTCAGGAGGCTCAGATGGCGGACGACTGCCTCCTGGTGATGGCGGGCAGGTACCAGGAGCTGGTGGCGAACCAGACAAATGCCGACCGCTACTACACGCTGGCGGTCGAGTACGCCAGGTGGGTACACCTCCTCTACTGAAGCGGCTTGCCGCTGCAGCAGAGTCCCTATTTCAGCTATTGGTAAAAATGTGAGCAGGTGTGGTCGAGTATGACGGCCTTTGATGCTGACTCCAAATTTGACATTTAAAGGCTAATTTTCGAGAAAAATTGCCCACTTCGGCCCAAAGAAGTTTTTACGATAACGCAACATTGACGTATTTCTCATCCTGGACGTCACGCCGCATTTTTAAGTCCATGACATTTAAAATTTCTAATAAACTGCCTGTAAACATATCCACGTGTCGCGCTATCATATCTTTAGTGCACCGCGCTATCGTAACCTGAAGCCGCGCAATGTGACGCAGAGTTTGTTAGGCACGGACCTGTCCCGCATTAGATGACGTTAGTCACGCACGCGGCGGCTGGGTGAGTCTGTGGCCATGGCCGTGCCTGTACTGGTCTATGGGGCATGTCGTGCTTTGTCTATTGGGAGTGAAGTGTAAGTGGGCCCAGTTTGCCCCTTCAGTTGCAGTTATAAGATGCGAATGCCGCTGAAGTTGCGCTGGCTAAAAATCAAACTAAACCTAAGGGTCCCTTTCGACTTTGAGAACACAAATGTTAGAAATGAATGTTTGCGTGTTCCATTCCGACTTATTTTGATACGTTTAGTTGAAACGTTATCTAAAGGTAAGTACTTTTGTTTTCAACGATTACACAAATGCTTCGTACATCACATACAATAGGCTTAGTATTATTAAATGTTAGCCTGCCTTTCGTGTCGCAACTTTATCTGTTGCAAACTCGCTTTAGATATGCACTACCATTGAAAACTAAAAGGGCTCTGCAGACCTGAGGAAACACACAACAACCGATGGGAGAGTGTCAACCGCAAACCCTTTTTCCAGACAAAACATGGCGAAGCTGCACTTCTACTTCAAGACCAACTCGGGCACACGTTACAAACGGGACGTTTTGTACACCAACGACCAGTTCATTGGTGAGAGTAGCAGCCCTCTCTGATTCGGTACACGCGTCGGCTGCCTTGCCACTCAAAACACGTTTTTCTGTAAATCTAGAGCTATTCTAGAGCTCGGGAATATCAGTGCTCGGATCCCATTGGCAGATTCTTATGTTATGTTCATGATTCATCTGAAAAAAGCGTCTGTAAAAACTCTCTAAGTGCATAACCTCAAGCATGTTAATACTTGACTCGTTTTGTTTAGGTTCTCCCCATCGTATGGTCTGCATCAATCAACAATGGTAACTTTAGAGCTCTCCAGTGACATTCAAGACAATCAAAGGCACCTACCCTCTGCTTTCTTTAAGCATGTCTCTGGTAATATCAGCAAGCCATGAATGTGAAACAAGTCCAATTTTAGTGGTTTGTGGCTGGGGCGCAAAATGTGGCTCAACCAGGTGGCACCACAAGTCGTGCACTGGTCTATCATGCTACCGACAGATGGCATCCTAGATACTCACTGGAAGGAAGATTGACAGCGAAATCGCGCTGATGGATGTCTGTAGTGAGGTGCCTTTAATTAAGGTTTGACCCATAAATTTGACACCATTTGGATTTTTAAAATTTATCGATGCGTCCTGCGTTTCGGCAACGAATGCCAGTAGATGCCACACCTTTCCGTGATCAATTCACATAAATCACTGATTTTGTTTTTGTGGCAGCTTAGTGTAAGGAGCTGACTTAGAAGTCACGCAGTGACACACCGCCAAGTTTCTAGAGCAGTGGTGGATATTTTTTTAATTATTGGAGTTGCTCATTGGCCCACCGACTGCAGACTATACTTTCTGTCACCTGCCCCAGATTTATAGCTGGGACCGGGCGGAGCATGAGCTGTTGGCAGTGATACAGGCAGGGGATAGGGGAGGGGAGGCAGAGGAGGCACGTGCCCCCTTAGGTCGCGAGGGGACCGCGAGGATCCCTCGAGATCTACGATTGAGGGTCCGAAAGGCCGGTCAAAGGCCATGTTCATGGACTCCGGCACTCCAATGCCAGCCAGAGGGCCCTGCGCGCTGGTCAGGGGCTTTTGAGTCAATAAGCCGATGTGTCGGTCAGACACCACCAGTAACCCACAGGCGGCCCCGTTTCTGCATGGACCTGAAGATCCATTTCCCAAACCGAGTCGACCAGAGGTAGCGCCCGAAGAGGTCCGAAAAGCCTGTAGGGCGGAACCGGCGATTAAGGCGATCATTTGAAGACCTAAGGGCACGAAGGGCTGGTCGTAATCTCATTCAGGAGCCCCGGCCTGCAGGGGTAGGCCTTCAAATGACAGTCAAAGAGCCTATGTGCCGATCGGAGTCCCCTAAATCGATAAGCGCTTATATGTCGGCCAAGCACCACCAGTACCGCACAGTCGGCTCCGTGTCGGTATGGGCCTGAGGGCCCAATTCCCAGGTAGCTACAAAGCTGCGGCCAGCAATTTACACCGGCCAAGACCCCTGTATCTGTTAGGGGCCCAAAGTGCCTGACAAGGGATCTTGCGTTCGCGAGGGACCTCGAGTCGACCAAGGACTCAGCCAGTGTTCGATGTGGCCCGAAGAGAAACCAGGGAGGCCCACCGGAACCGACGACCAAGGGACAGGTTAAGGGACGTGAGGGCACAAATGACTGACTGTAGGCTACCTTAAGTATGGTGGCCCATATATTCGTACCTAGAACATCAGTCAAAGGGCCTCTTGCACCGTGTGAGGACTCTTGAGGCAGTATGAGTATCTAAGATAGTCAGAGACCACCAACACCGAGCGGTTGTCCCCCTGTCAGTCTGAACACTAGGGGCCTATTTGCCAAGCAAGAGGAAGGCTGGGTGCCTATATTTGCACAAGTCTGAGCCCATGAAACAATGGCCGGTACCCTGGGCTGGTCATGGGCCCGCAGTATCGAACAAGGAGTGGTGTGTCGATAAGTGGCCGCGAATCGGTCACGGGCTTTGTCTGAGGAGGTCCGAAGGGGTGCCGGAGGACCACTCGTCACTACAAACAAGTCAATAAACTGAGGAACTAATGCATTAAACGACTGAATTAAATAAATCGCCGGCGCTCTTAATTTTACAATGGTCCAGTTAACTCCTACTAAACCAATAGAACACAAAAGCTTTCTCAGAATTTTGATCTGGGTCCTACACAGATATACAAAACTCGCGAATGTAGATTGTAAATCTAAATGGCTCAGCAAATTGTATTAACATTGCCAAGCCATGTTTGTCATGAAACATTCAACATTCATTCTGAAGCAGCGAATTAATTATGTAACGCAGTTTTGAACATGTGCGCTCGCAAATTTCGGCAACAAAAACCTGGGCCCAGGCGTTGCAGTCTCCGTAGGCCGCGCGACGTCGCCCCGTGTGTGACATTAAACTGCGGCTGACATACGTGCGACATTGAAAACGACTCTAAAAAAATGACCCTTTGAACGCTTCAGGACATCAAACCGTACGTTTAGAGAGTAGTCCTGGAAATATTTAACCCGTGAGATTCTTAGTTTAATAATAAGAGCGGATTGTCCTTTACAACATCGCTAATGGTGCTAAAATCGGGTAATGCAACTGGCATATTTTTAGCTAGTTTCGCGCTGCTGTGACTGTTAATATGTTCAGAGGACATCACAATTTTTAAAAAAGATGCGCCCAGTCTATTTTTTGAGGTCTGTGAATTAATTTTCAAGACATTCGGAAATATCATTCCTGCCGGTCGCTTTCGCGCACGGCGCCCGCCATCTGGTGTCAGTGACCGACACCATTCAGTTTTACGTAAACTGCAACCCTTGACTACGAAGTCCAGCCGGCCTTGAGGCTCTTCGGGCCCTCAAATCGGGCCCATAATCGTAGGCCTCTAGGCGTCTGAAGGCTCCTCGGAACATAAGCGGTAGGGCACGTGCCCCCTGCGCCCTGGCCCCTACCCGCGCCACTGGATCACGAAAATGTGTACCGACTGACTGGCTGGCTGAAAATGTGTAATGTGAAAATGAAATGTGCCTATGGCTATAACTCCTATAAGACGTCGACCTGTAACATCCCACATCTCTGTTACAGCGAACATGGGAGGACTCCTGGGGCTGTTCATGGGCTTCTCCATCGTCTCCGTCTTTGAAATATTCTACTTCTTCGTTATGAACTTCATATCCTCAGTCAAATGCGGCGAAGATGTGTCACCCATAATCCCAATACCGCGAGTGGACTAACACGACACACATATTACGGCTGGTGGTGTATGTCGCGATAAGCTTTATGTGGTCTCATGTTCCTTTAGACACGTTGCACCGAATGATCATTTTCACCGTCCGGGTACGTTCTTTCGAAGCCTGAACGAAGCGCATAGTTTTTACCATTTCTTCCGAGAATGAATATACTGCTTGTTTAGACAGAATGTGGATGGCTGCCTCCCGCGTCATGTACCATTTGCCTTAAGATTACACGCGTCTAGGGCTTTCTGTGAAAATACGCCGGGTAATTGGCTCGGACGTCGGTCCTGAGAAGACGTCCGGTATTCCATGTGCCATTCGCGATAACCTACCGTGTCTGTTTGTACGGCACCTGAACAATGCCGTCTATTCTGTCTCAAATGCTTTTAGCGTAAAACAGCACATCACCAGCAGCACAGTGCACATGTGGTTATACGACGTCTTCTGTCAGTCTTTTTAAAACTCGACCAGGATCAACGCTATCAACCAAATGTTCTGACTGAAATCCCGGTCATTACCAGCACGTGCTCGACTGAAGCTAATCATACGCTTGGAATTTGATCGCTACTCGTTCACTGCTGACCGATCAACGTGCCGGACAACGACTTTCCAAGAGCGCTTTTGACCAGACCCGATGGAGTTCTCAAACCGTGACCCGAGATGTTTCGCCGTAGCATCATCCCCACGTAAAACGCTGGCTCACTGTTGATAGCCGGCCTCAGTACAGGACACCGCGGCATACAAGGAAATTGTAAGCGAATGTTGTGTAGTTATCACCAAATACAATGTTTAGTTATGTCTTCTATTGCGTGATTTTTCCTCCAGTAGACACCGCCATTGTTTCCGCGCGCTGTATTCTTTCTGACACCATCTCATAGGCGCAGGTAAGAAGACGCATCCTCCACAAATGATCCAGCGCCGTTTCGGCTATTCATCAAAATGTCAGTGCTACAATCTTCCGCTACCAACGACAACGCTCTGTCTGGAGAGTGGTAGCGCAAGTTGTGTAGTTGCCGTTGACTGCCTCAGAACTGGCGTGTTCTTATCGCATTTACGCCATTTCTATCATGACATAGGTAAGATGAAGAACTGTTGAGATATGCACGATGGCAGCTGACATAGCACCAGCTATCGGGAGACTCACGAATGCTCGTAGCGTCCTTTAGACCGAACCAACCTTTGGTGAACTTCGGTAGCACGCCACCTGAAGCTGCGCTGCTTAATCTCAACCCACACCCACACCCGCACCCACACGCACGCACGCACTCACGCACGCACGCAGCACGCACGCACGCACGCACGCACGCACGCACGCACGCACGCACGCACGCACACACGCACGCACGCACGCACGCACGCACACACACACACACACACACACACACATTCCCTCTCTCTCTCTCTCTCTCTCTCTCTCTCTCTCTCTCTCTCTCTCTCTCTCTCTCTCTCTCTCTCTCTCTCTCTCTTCTCTCTCTCTCTCACTCACTTTCTTTCATTTCTGCAGCGGTCAAGCGATCTCATATATGCCCCTTGAGATGTTCAGCTTCAACTGCTCTCTACGCTAAGGTAGTTTCGACTTCTGTCCGCCACCGGGACCTGACGGCTGCGACTCAGCTTCACCTGCTCTCTACGCCAAGGTAGTCTGGACTTCTGTCCGCCACCAAGACATAACGACTGCCCCTGCACGGGCTTCATATTCACGTACTCTCTACGCCAAGGTAGTCTCGACCTCGGCCCGTCACCGAGACCTGACGGCTGCGCCTGCACGTGCCAGATGGCCTTAGCGGCCGACCTATGACCCCTGCCTAACAGGTCCACGATCGACAGGGCTAACGACGCTCACCGCACAACGTCATAGACATTGTGGCGCGCCGCTCCAAACGAAGCTTCAGGGACTCCCGCGAGCGGAGAACAAACCTCAACCCACCAGGCATCGTCTCAGCCTCAAGGCATTGAACCTCTTGAACGGGACATCCCACGAGGTCGGGCCCTGCTAGGACTGGTGAAAAGAATAAGATATTTTCCGCGGTCGATGATAAAGGTTGAAAGGAGAGCTATGCGGTGTCCGGTGAGTCTGGTGGGTCGCCGAAACATCTGACTGGGGGTGCAGTGTACCATTGCTCCCCGTGTATCCTTCTTGTGCCGTAATGTGCCCTCCTGGGTCGTTCCGATCAGGCATTTCGCTCCGCGCGTCGTTACTATCCCCACCCAGCTCTGAAGCCCGTCTGGTGACAAAGCCGGCCTTACTTACGCCCTCTCATCCCATCTTACCCGCAGCACTTCCTTATCCGCCTCGCCATCCGCCCTGGCTCCCATCTTCTCACCCCACACGGCGGATCCCGCCTCACCTGTCGCCTAGAAAACCCCTTCCTCACGTCCTCCACTCTCCCCGTCCCAACCTTCCCCTGCCAACTAGCTGTCCCCTCGGGATTCGTGCAGAGCCGACCAACCAAGCGTCCTCAACGGTCGCTGTGGGCAGATTTGTCGTCACAGCGCCGGCCACCTCGTACGCGCGGTTCGACACTTGCTCGGACTACACCGTGTGGACATGCCATCGGTGGAGCTTGGCGGCTAGGGCCTACGCCAGCTAGTTAGTGAGGGCAGCTAGTGAAGTGTAGTTGGTAGTTTAAGTAGCTGCACACATGGAACGTAAGCAAACCAGTTTTTTTATTAATTTAAGCAATTTTCCAGACGCCTTTGCACATTATGAACGGCACAGCGCGACTGCCGGGTCCAAGACAGAAACAATAACATACATTTATCTTCCTAATTAAACTGCAGGCACTTAATATTGTGCTGCCGTGTTCATGATCATTTCGTTGAAAGAAAACAGATGACCTCGCCTTCACTTAAACGGAAACATGAAATGCAGGGGAGGAGCCCTGTGAGTAATACATCAGTTGCCCAGTCTTGAATTTCTGTCCTGGACTTCCTGGAATCAATCCAGTTGCTTACGACATCTGCATGTTTAGCTCAAGGCCGTTATATTCAAGTCGTATAGTAAACCATCTCAGTTTTGGAGTGGTCTGCGCTGGTAATACCTCAGGGGAGCTGGGCGACAATCGGAGCCAGTGCGTTCACGGGCCTCCCAGTCAGCCAGAGGCGAGGCGAGCAGACGAAACAACAGCGGGCCTTGATCCCCGAAACGGGCACAGCTGCAGCGGCAGTCAACGAACACTTTCGTCGGGTAGGTGATAGTGGCAGCCGTTTGACGTTGTTCGCTGCATAGCACTCATGGAGCCGAGAATTGGACAGCGGCCATACAGTCGCAAGGTCAAGCGACGGGACCGAGGCCCTCCGGACGGACAGTGATGTGTAGGGGCAGAAGGGGACTTGTGGTTGTACCACTATGACATAGCGGCGCTGGTAGACATGAGAATGAGGGATGAGCATTTAGACTAGAAAATCCCGATCAATTGCGGCATTAGGATTTGGACATTTTCCAGGACTTCAGAGCACGAAGTCGAGATGCGATATTTCACTGATCGCCAGAACTAAGTTCGAGTCATGCGCGCCGTCAAAGTATTCCATCGCATTGTGCCTGCCAGAAACAACATGTGCGAGGTAGCGACACAAATGATCACAGTCGTGACAGGTCTCGAGAATAGCGTAAAGAAAATTCAGAATGCTTGAATTTGCCTGGCCGAATGTGTGTAAATTCGACAATCGTATTCTACACGTGCAGAGCTATGTAAGAACGCAACTATGGCCTGATCAAACTCTATTAATGGATGTTCATAGTACATATGTTATCAAACGAGACAGGCACAGACTTCTTTTAACACAATCTACACACCTCCCCTGCAGCCATGGAGACACATTGTGATGTTCCACGACCGTTAGTGTTAGGTTTGCAGGCTTTGTTATTGATGCGTCCCACCACTAAAAATATCGGCCTTATGATGAGCAAACACCTGACACATCATGACTACGCTGGTCGCTTTGTGACGAAGCGCACTGGGGTGTTTCCGACCAGAAGATGTAGTTTCACAAGGTCAGCTGGTGGCTAAACAGTGCCAGATGATGAACACTGCCGCCAAAAGACGCCAACAAACTGGTTTTCTCCCCAGATTTGGCTCACCTTCTTCACAAAATTGGAGGGGGGGGGAATGGGAATAGGTCCCGAGCCGTCTCAGCTGAATAGAAAGCTCTTGGTTCTGACCCTCGGCCATGTGAAACGTACATTGCCACTCCCGCCGAATGTGCCAAGGTCGAGGCCACAGAAGAGTGGCGCTGTGCCCGGGTACCTGTGTGACATTGTTCCCACGGTGCCTGCAGAGTTGTAGGGCTTCAGCGAGTGCGAAGGATGCTTTATTTCTGTGCTGGTGTTATTTGGAGCGCGCCCCATGAGCATGGTCCTGTATTTTCTTATGTGCAACGCGATTTGAGGTGGCTGAGGGCCGCAAACCTGGCTTAGCACCACAGTCATTTAGTTTGGTTTCACGCATTATAACGTGGGACCATGTCACAAGGTATTTATTTAATGTCACAGGATGTGTAGAATAACATACTTATGTTAACGTCTGAACAGCCAGACTATATTGCAAGCACGCTAGCGCGTGGGGTTGAGCACGGCCACGACCCCCGACGTGTCCATCGCAACAACGTTCACCGAGAATGCGCGCCGAGGCCGACAGAAGACAGCTACTTTACAGCGGCGTTGATGCTGGAATCCTTGTTTTATCAGCAAACAACAGGAATTTGTAGGCGGCATATCAGCTCTTTGCGATGAATTTGTGACACATGACGTGTGAAGTAAGTTTTGTTAGCCCTTTGACGCTGTTTTTACCAGCCTGCACTGCGTTAGTGAAAAGCAGCCCAAGCGGATTTATTGCCAGCACACGAACCAGCTGGTTGTACACTCATACTAACTCTGCCAGATAGCGATTCCCTCTTTTGATCACCTCTTCGCTCGAGAACACTGCGGACTGAAATGTATACGTCCGCTTTCAGCTCATCCCTGAGAACACTTGGCGCGACAGCACGCGCCGAATCTCAGCAATCTCTGAAACGATTCAGAGTGAGGAAATCCGAGACATTATGCCGTTAGCCGGCGAAATAGTCATGCCTCCTGTCATCATGCGCCAACAGCAACTGCCGAATCCCCCACCCAGTGTCGGCTGAGCAGCGTTGGTCGGCGGCCCCAAGTCGACCCAGGCCGGGGTCAGCTCGTGTGAGCTCTGCCCAGCCGCGAGGCCGGCGCCGGGGGGGGGGGGGGGGCACCGCTCGCGAGCCGCAGCCAACGAAACCCCGACGGCCTGCCGCGGTGTCAGCCCCACCCAGACACCCTGCCAAACTAGGGCCAACTGCACCGCGCAAAGTAAGTTTCGCAGAATGTCCTGGCGAGCACTCTCGTGTCGTCATGACACTGCGTGACGTCAGCATCCACCGCCGAGGGCCTGAGGTTACTGGCAAGCATACGGTGTGTGATTCTTGAGCGACTGCCCTGAATAAATTACGAAAAATCGTCGAATGATGAGGACGACTAGTATGTCAGCCAGACAGAGTTGGTAAATTGGACGTTTACTGTATAGCTGTCAGACGAATGGGTCTGCTCTTTGAGGAAGGAACGGGATGATAGAGAAGGACGGAAGTTTGAGCGGTCGATAGGCTCAGAACTTCGGAATCGACTGAACAGTGGACTAGTTTCGATGATCCAGTAACAAAGAGTCTGTTGATTGCGTGCTGTTCATGGACCTCACCGTCACGACATGCTTCAGAGCGCTTCTTGATGACGCGATGCGGAGGACTGCACCGTCTGCCGGCGTGTTACGATTCCATTCGGGG